CCTCCCTCCCTCCCTCCCTCCCTCCCTCAGAGATGCTGTGATGGGTGTAAGTACAAAGACAGATCATAACTGTTGTAACTTTGAAAGGTCACTACATGAGTGGTTGTAAGTTGAGGACTGCCCGTTCTCACCTTCCCCTAGTTTTTGACCTGCCACCACCCGCTTTTGGGGAGGTCCCACTCGCCTGGAGCCTCTGAGATCCTCAGGGTGGCCCCCCCTCCGCCCCCTTCCCCAAAAGGCCTCTCTACTGGGCTCAGCCCAAAGGCAGCCTTCTCCTCCCCCTCCCGAGAGCCGGCCGGGACCCTGAGGCCTCTGCTTGCCTTCCAGCCCCACAGCTCGCAAGGAGGGCCTGGGGAGCCCTCTTTCCGGGAAGGACCTGGAGACCCTCTCGGGGTCTCGTAGCCAAGTGGTGGCCACCACTAGAGAGCTGGACGGAAAAGACGCCTTGCTCCGCGACCAGGAGGCCTCCAGCCTTGACACGCATCGCTCTGAGTCGGCGCCAAGAGACGATAGCAGCATCAGGCCCAGGTAGCTTTTCACGGCGGTCTCCCGTCTTTTGCTTCCCAGCTTAGCCTTCCCTGTACCCCATCTCTGGCCTGCAGGTCCCGGTCCCTTCGTACGGGAGACAGCGTTTCCATCACGAACGAGGGGTAACAATATCGCATGTATGGATGAACCTGGGCCACAGGGGAAGAGGTGCTGCTTAGGGAAGGATAAGGATAAGAGACAGCCAAGCCCACAGCTGTATAACGGATGGAGAAAGACACTCAGAAGAGAGTGTCTCTCCGTAGTTTGTAAAGGAGAGGGGTATAAGGCAGGGGTAGGCCACCTTGGCTCTTTTATGACTCGTGGACTTCAACTCCCAGAATTCCTGAGGCAGCTGTGCTGGCTCAGGAATTCTGGGAGTTGAAGTCCACGAGTCATAAAAGAGCCAAGGTGGCCTACCCCTGGTATAAGGCTAGGTGGGAAAGACTTTGGGGGACTGAGCGAAGGGATGATGCTTAGGAAACGTCGGATAAGAGGCCGCAGGGCCCACAGCTGTATAATGGGTGGAGAAAGAGGCGCAGAAGGAAACCTCTCTTAAGTTATCAGGCTTTAAAAAGAGAGAGTGGGAGATTTGTACTTTCAGACAGTGGTGGCTTAGCAATGGGCTGCAGCAGTCCTGGGCTACATCAACAGAGGGATAGCACCAAGATCATGTGAAGTGAAAGACTACATCCAATTCTGGTCCTGAGAGAAGGTCCTGAGGTCCTAAAAAGAGACTAGAGGGTTAGGAGGTTGGAGGCTAAATTGAGGGAACTGAGTAGGCACCTGGAGGAAACGGTCTATCTGGACCCTCTCCAGTCGGGCTTCAGGCCGGGGTACAGCACGGAAACGGCATTGGTCACGTTGGTTAATGATCTCTGGAGGGCCCGGGACAGGGGTTGTTCCTCTGTCCTTGTTCTTTTGGACCTCTCAGCGGCTTTTGATACTGTGGACCACAGTATCATGCTGCAGCGGTTGGGTGGGTTGGGAGTGGGAGGCACCGTGATGCGGTGGTTCTCCTCCTTCCTCACCGACCGTACGCAGTCCGTATTGGCAGGGGGACAGAGGTCGACTCCAAGGCCCCTAACTTGTGGGGTCCCACAGGGGTCGGTCCTCTCTCCACTTCTGTTCAATATTTATGTGAAGCCGCTGGGGGAGATCATTCGTGGC